CAAATTATTGGAAAGGGCTCTGAGAGATAGGATTTACGATTACTTGGATAGGCACAGTTTGATTCGTGATAGTCAGCATGGATTTGTGAGGGGTAGATCATATGCCTCACAAACCTTATTGAATTCTTTGAAGAGGTGACCAAACACGTGGATGAAGGTAGAGCAGTGGATGTGGTATACATGGATTTAAGTAAGACGTTTGATAAGGTTCCCCATTGTAGGCTCATGCAGGAAGTAAGGATAGGGATAGGGGGAAATGAGGCAGATTGGATTCAGAATTGGCTGACCCTTAGAAGACAAAGTGTGGTAGTGGACGGAAAATATTCAAACTGGTGCTCAGTTACGAGTGGTGTACCACAAGAATCTGTTCTGGGTCCTCTTCTATTTGTGATTTTTGTAAATGATTTGGAGGTAGGAGTGGAAGGGTAGATTAGTAAGTTCTCGGGCGATACGAAGGTGGGTCGAGTTGTGGATAGTGCGGAGGGCTGTTCTAGGTTACAAAGGGACATTGATAGGATGCAGAGCTGGGCTGAGAAGTGGCAGATGGAGTTTACCCCTGAAAAGTGTGAGGTGATTCATTTTGGAAGGACAAATTTGAAAGCAGAATACAGGGTTAAGGGAAAGATTCTTGGCAGTGTGGAGGAGCAGAGAGATCTTGGGGTTCATGTCCACAGCTCCCTGAAAGCTGCCACCCAGGTGGATAGAGTTGTTAAGAAGGCGTATGGTGTGTTAGCTTTCATTAATAGAGGGATTGAGTTGAAGAGCCGTGAAGTTGTGCTCCAGCTATACAAAACCCTGGTTCGGCCACATCTGGAGTATTGTGTCCAGTTCTGGTCACCTCATTACAGGAAAGATGTGGAAGCGTTGGAAAAGGTGCAGAGGAGATTTAGCAGGATGTTGCCTGGAGGGAGGATCTTACGAGCTAGGGCTTTTCTCTTTAGAATGACGAAGGATGAGAGGTGACTTGATAGAGGTGTACAAAATGATCAGAGGTATAGATAGAGTGGACAGCCAGAGACTTTTTCCTAGGGTGGAGGTAGCTATTACAAGGGGGCATAGTTTTAAAGTGAGTGGAAGTAGATATAGGGGAGACGTCAGAGGTAGGTTCTTTACTCAGAGAGTGGTAGGGGCGTGGAATGCATTGCCGGAGAGGGTAGTGAAGTCGGCCTCATTAGGGGCATTTAAGCAGCTATTAGATAGGCATATGGATGATATATAAGGTAGGGGTGGAGGTTAGATAGATCTTAGGTTTAGGGTAAAAGTTCAGCACAACATCGTGGGCCGAAGGGCTGTGGTGTACTGTTCTATGTAGCCACATCTCTATGACGTATATTCATTTCTATTCATGCAAATAATTTGCCTAATTTATTTATGTGACTGCTTTGCATATTTTGATACTGTACCTTTAGCTTGACATTTTTCTAATTTTTCCTGACATCAACTTTGACACCAATGCTGTGTTACCTTTTTACTGTTTCTGTCCCTTCCTGACCCCAGGCTGGGGAATCTGGTAGATGGGGTTCACAATCTCAGAATAAGTAGTTGAGCATTTAGGACAGATGAGAAATTTCTTCACTCAAAATTACTGTGAATGTTTAAAATTCTCCACCCAAAGGAATTGAATGCTCAAGCATTGAGTAAATTCAGGACAGAGATAGTAGGAACTGCAAATGCTGGAGAATCTGAGATAACAAGGTGTAGAGCTGGATGAACACAGCAGGCCAAGCAGCATTAGAGGAGCAGGAAGGCTGACGTTTCGGGCCTAGACCCTTCTGCAGAAATGGCCGAAGAGATTACGAGAGAGTTGCAGTGGGAGAGAGATCCACTGAGGTTTTTCCGGAGGGAGAAGGGTAACTTCTTCAGGGTAGGCATCCTTAGAAGAGGCTTCACAGTGGGGTTAAAATTGTTTCAGAGATAGTAGGAACTGCAGATGCTGGAGAATCTGAGATAACAAGGTGTAGAGCTGGATGAACACAGCAGGCCAAGCATTTCTGAAGAAGGGTCTAGGCCCGAAACGTCAGCTTTCCTGCTCCTCTGATGCTGCTTAGCCTGCTGTGTTCATCCAGCTCTACACCTTGTTATCTCAAATTCAAGACAGAGTTTGGTAGATTTTTAGATGCTTAGGGGCATTAAGGAATATGGGGATACTGTGAGAAGGTAGAAGTGAGATCTTCTGATAAGGCCTAAGATCTGTTGAACCACACAGCAGATTCAAAGGGCAAATTGCTGCCTTCAGCTCTTATTTCTTATGTTCATAACTCCATTCCCAATCCCAGTGAGGTTGCTTGTGAACTGCAGTCAACATCAAAAATATTCCCAATCCTATTCCTGGGAGGCACACAAATGTGTGTGGCTTTGATTGACTTGACTGGATATTCTCTTCTGTGTAGCCAGATGATCACAGAACAACTACTTACATTTATATAGTGCTTTTAAATGTAATAACATACCAAAATACTTCATAGATGCTCTATAAAACAAATGACATTCGACCAAAAGCTTGATCAAGGAGGCAAATTTTAATGAAGAGATGGACAACGTGAGATGTTTAGAACAAGAATTTCAAAGCTTGCAGCCATGGCAGCTGAAGGCCCAGCCATCAATTGTGGAACAGTTGAAGTCAGGGATGCTCAAGATGCCTGAATTTGAGTGCAGACATCTTGGAGTTCTGAAGAACTACTGATGTCTATTCTCTGATAATGATAGGTAAGAATAGAATCATGCACGTGCAGCCTCTCCTGCTGTTCGATGATGGAGGAGGATGGTGCGATGAAATATGTGAAAGACAACAAAAAGGTCAGGAGGATGAGGAAGGGTATTCTATCCTTGTCACTGTCACATTGGATGTTATTCGTGACTTCAAAAGCCATTTTAGTACTCTACCAAGGGCAGAAACCCTGGTTGAAGGGATTCCAAAACAGGATTCTGGAAAGGCTGGACATGAACCAGGGAGGGGACAATGCCTTCAGAACTTTAAAAGACTGCTGTTGAGGTCAAAGTGCAGCCTTTGGCGAGCATTGTGCTTCACTGAAGGTGAGCAGCATTAATATATATTCTATATAGAGGGGTAGTAAGGTAGTTAGTGGAGTGGTATGCTCCTCCTGTGAGATGTGGGAGATCAGGGAGAAGTCAAAAGTCCCTGACAACTATGTCAGCTGGGAGTGTGTCCACCTGCAGCTCTTCTCAGACCACATGGATCTATTGGAGTGGCAGTTGGACTCACTAAGGAACATAGAGGAAGCAGAAAGTTTTAGAGATAGGTGTTTCAGGAAGGTGGTCACCCCAAAGGTTCAGCCAGATAGATGGGTGACTGTCACGAGGATTGGGCATGCAGACATTGCAGGAGTCCCCTGTGACCATTCCCCTCTCAAACAGGTATACTGTTTTGGATACTGTTTGGGAGAATGGCCACTCAGGGGAAAGCAACATCAGTAGCCAGATCAGTGGCACCATTATTGACCCTCTTTGCTGTAAACCAAGCCAAAGTGTAAGTGGGTGGTAGTGATAGGGGATTCTGTAGTCAGGGACACAGATCGGCATTTCTGTGGCCGAGAGCAGTCTCCAGGATGATGTGTTGCCTCCTTGATGCCTGGGTCAAGGATGTCTCTGAGTGGGCACAGAACATGCTGAAAGGGGAGAGTGAGCAGCCAGATATTATGGTCCATGTTAATTCTAATAACATAGGCAGGAAGAGAGATGAGGTCCTGCAATGGGAATTTAGGAAGTTAGAAAGTTCAAATGCAGGACCTCCAGAAGCGTACCAACCCACCTGTCAGTGCATTCCAGGTACTTACCACCCTCTGTTAAAAAAAACTTTCCATGCACATTTGCTTTCAACTTCTCCCCTCTCACCTTAAAACTATGCCCCCTAGTATTTGACATGTCCACCATGGGAAAAAGACTATCCATCCTATCCATGCCTCTCATAATTTTATATATTTCTATGAGGTCACCTCTTAGCCTCTTACACTCTAGCAAAAACAATCGAAGTTTGTTCAACATCTCCTTATAGCTAATATATTCCAATCCAGGCAACATCCTGGTAAACCTCTTTTTGCATCCTTTCCAAAGCCTCCAACATCCTTCCTATAGTGTGGGGACAGAACTATGCAGTATATTCCAAATGTGGCCTGACCAAAGTTTTATGCAATTGGAACATGACTTGCCAACTTTTATAATCAATGCCCTGACTGATGCCATATGCCTTCTTTACCATCTTATCCACTGTGCTGCCACTTTCAAGGAGCTATGCACATGTACCCCAAGATCCCTCTGTGTATCACAGCTCCTAATGGTCATACATTTACAATGTGCTTTCTTCTTGCATTTGATCACCCAAAACACAGCACATCACATTTTTCCAGATCAAACTCTATTTGCATATCTCTGCCCAACTTTCTAGCTAGACTATATCCTGCTGTATCCTTTGACAACCTTCCTCACTGTCCACAAATCCACCAATTTTTGTGTCATCTGCAAATTTACTGATCAGTCTGCAAACTTACTGATCAGTAATCAGGGATGGAGCACTTTTTAGCTATGAAGAGAGGGTGGATTATCTCAGGTTGTTTTCTTCCAAGCAGAGAAGGCCAAGCGGGGGGCCTGATGAGATCTATAAGATTACGAGAGGCATGGACAGGATGGATAGGAAGCTGTTCTTCTAGATGAAGCGTCAATTTTAAAGGTGAAAGGATGTTTAGAGGATATTTGAGGAAAATTGTTTTCATCCAGAGAGTAGTGAAAATCTGGAATGAACTGCCTGGGAGGGTGTTAAGGTGGGAATTCTCACAACCTTTAAAAAGTACTTGGATCAGCACCTAAAGTGTCATGACTTATAGGCCAAATGCTGGAAAGTGGGAATGATGCAGATTTACAGTCGTTTTCGCTTTCTTCAAGTGATTCTAGTTCAAGTATATCAAACCTTGAATAATGCAACACAAGTGTAAATTGAACATTTCACATTTATTTAAAAACTTCAACAATAAAACAACTTTGTACATTATATTTGTTTACTTTTCTTAGCAGTATAGATTAAACCAATGCTACATCAAATCTATAGAACTTTGCACCAAACCCAATACTGAACTGAGATACTGCACTGGACAGTAAAGGAATATATGCCAACTGTTGTTCATGTTTACTGAGGATACTGTGTAAGAGTAGCGTTTCACAGTTACAAATTTGACGAAGATTTCTGGCAGCTTCTAGGTTTCAGATACCTAGCCCAAAGACACTGACTATACAAAACATAGTCTTATTCTCCCATCTCACAGTGCAGCTTCCTGAAAACAAAGAAGGAACATACAAGTTTAAGCAATTTAAATTAGAACTAGTCAATACACTACAATTTGATAAGAATTTTTATTTTTCTCTTTAAGTACACCATGCAGCAATTGCAGGAAGGATCCTGTCTAGACTTAGCACTTAAGTGTGCAATCATCTAATCACAAGGTAATCCTTTGTTGGCTCTTACTCCATATTCATCTCAATTCTCAGACAAGCAACTGGCATTAGTTCAGACTCACATCCTACAAGCACTTTGAACAGCGAACTCTTCCAAACTACTGCAACTGCATTTCACATTGTAATTATTAAATAAGTAGAGATCAACAAACAGCATAAAATGTGATCATATGTTGGATATACCAAAGCCATCTTGTAGTTTTCATACAAAAACTTTATGGTGGGTCAATTGAGGAACAGTGGAGGACTTTCAAAACGATTTTTCACTGTGCTCAGTAGAAGTATATTCCAGTGATAAGGAAGAACTGTAGGAAAATAAATAGTCAGACATGGATGTCTAAGGAATAAAGGAAAGTATCAGATTAAAAAAAAACATACAAGAAAGCAAAGATTAGTGGGAAACTAGTAGACTGAGAAATCTTTAAAGGCCAGCAAAAAGCCACGAAAAACGTTATAAAGAAAAGTAAGATAGATTATGAGAGTAAACTAGCTCAGAATATAAAAACAGGCAGCAAAAGTTTCTATAAATATGTAAATCGTAAAAGAGTGGTGAAGGTAAACTTGATCCTTTAGAGGATGAGAAGGCCAATTTAATAACTGGGAATGAGTAAATAGCTGAGGCATTAAACAGAGATAGTAGGAACTGCAGGAGAATCTGAGATAACAAGGTGTAGAGCTGGATGAACACAGCAGGCCAAGCAGCATCAGAGGAGCAGGAAGGCTGATGTTTCGGACCTAGACCCTTCTTTAGAAATGTCAGAACAGTTATTTTGTGTCGGTCTTCACAGTGGAAGACACAAATAACATGCCGAAAACTGATGGCAAGAAGGTTATAGCAGGTGAGGACCTAGAAACTATTATTATCACTAAGGAGGCAGTGCTGGGCAAGCTAATGGGGAGAAAGGTAGACAAGTCTCCTGGCCCTGGGTACTAAAACGGTAATGGGGGAAATAGCAAATACACTAGTAATTATGTACCAAAATTCACTGGACTCTGGGGTGGTTTCCGCAGATTGGAAAACAGCCAATGTGACGCCACTGTTTAAAAAAGGAAGTAGGCAAAAAGCAGGTAACTATAGGTCAGTTAGCTTAACTTTGGTAGTGGGGAGAATGCTTGAATCTATCATTAAGGAAGAAATAGCAAGACATCTGGATATAAATTCTCTCATTGGGAACACCCAGTGTGGGTTCCTGAAGGGTAGGTCATGTTTAACTAATTTGGTGGAATTCTTTGAGGACATTACTTGCATGGTGGACAATGGAAAACCTGTGGATGTAGTGTATCTGGATTTCCAGAAGGCATTTGACAAGATGCCACACCAATGGCTGCTACATAAGATAAAGTTGCACGGTATTACAGGTAATGTATTGGCATGGATAGAGGATTGCTTGACTGGTAGAAAGCAAACAGTAGGAGTAAATGGGTGTTTTTCTGGTTGGCGGTCAGTGGCTAGTGGTGTGCCTCAGGGATCAATGTTGGGACCGCAATTGTTTACAATTTACATAGATGATTTGGAGTTGGGGACTAAGCATGGTGTGTCAAAATTTGCAGATGACACTAAGATGAGTGGTAGAGCAAAGTGTGCAGAAGACACTGAAAGTCTACAGAGGGATATAGATAGTCTAAGTGAGTGGGCAAAGGTCTGGCAGATGGAGTACAATGTTGATAAGTGTGAGGTCATCCATTTTGGTAGAAATAACAACAAAATTGACTATGTTTTAAATGGTAAAAAATTGCAGCACGCTGCTGTGCAGAGGGACATGGGTGTCCTTGTGCATGAATCGCTAAAAGTAGGATTGCAGGTGCAGCAGGTAATTAAAAAGGCAAATGGAGTTTTGTCTGTCAATGCTGGAGGGATGGAGTTTAGAAACAGGGAGGCTATGCTGTGGCTGTATAGGGTCCTGGTGAGGCCACACCTGGAGTACTGTGTGCAGTTTTGGTCTCCTTACTTGAGAAGGGATATACTAGCACTGGAGGGGGTGCAGAGGAGATTCACTCGGTTGATTCCAGAGTTGAGAGGGTTGGATTATGAGAAGAGACTGAGTAGGCTGGGATTATACTCATTGGAATTCAGAAGAATAAGGGGAGATCCTATAGAAACATATAAGATTATGAAGGGAATAGATAAGGTGGAGGCAGGGAGGTTGTTTCCACTAGCAGGTGAAACTAGGACTAGGGGGTATAGCCCCTTCCCATAAAGGAAAGCAGATGTAGGACTGAGGTCAGGAGGAACTTCTTCACCCAAAGGGTTATGAATCTGTGGAATTCCCTGCCCAGTGAAGCGGTTGAAGCTACCTCGCTGGATGTGTTTAAGGCAAGGCTAGATAAATTTTTGAATAGTAAAGGGATTAAGGGATATGGTGTGCAGGCGGGTAAGTGGAGCTGAGTCTCAAAAAGATCAGCCATGATCTTAATGAATGGTGGGGCAGGCTTGAGGGGCCGGATGGCCTACTCCTGCTCCTAGTTCTTATGTTCTTATACAAAGAAAGGTGAAGAAACAGGTTATGTGGAGGGCACAGAATCTGTAAAGGAATATACTTAGGTTAAGTGAACAGGTAAATACTTGGCAGATGGAATACCTCAGAAAATGACATTGCCCACTTTCGAAAGAACAGAAAAACAAAATATTAATTAAGTGGAGAGAGACTACGTAATGCTGCAGTATAAAGGATGTTCTCTCATTTAAATAAACAAAAATGCTGTGATAGTGAATAATAAGGTAGGCAAATAAAATTTTGCCACTTATTAGAAGGGAGAGGATATAAAAGTAATGAAGTCTTGCCAGAGCTACTGGTGAGACCACACTGAAAGCATGCAGTACAGTTTTGTTCTCCCTATTTAAGGAAGAATAAACTTGCATTGGAGGCAGTTTAGAGAAAGTTCATTAAGTTAATTCCTGGGCCACGTTCCCCCCAATTATTTTTTCTGCTTTGCAGATGTCCAAGGGTCTGTGTGCAGCAGCAACTTCTGCATGTGAAGTTAATTTATCAGCGGCATGGTGGCTCAGTGGTAAATAATAATCTGTCTGTGTGGAGTTTGCGCATTCTCTCCGTGTCTGTGTGGATTTCCTCCCACAATTCCAAAGATGTGAGAGGTTAGGTGGATACAGCCATGCTAAATTGCCCATAGTGTCCAGGGATGTATAGGTTACATGGAAGTACAAGGTTACAGGGATAGGATAAGGGTGATGGGGTCTAGCTAGGATGCTCTTTGGAGGGTTAGTGTGGATTCGATCAGCCTAATGGCCTGCTTCCACACTGTAGGGATTCTGTGATTCTAGCATGCTGATCAGCATCCAAAGGACCACTGAGGTGCACAACTGAGTGAGAATGTTTATGGGACGAAGGCTTTATGTGGAAAAGTTGAGGTTGGGCTGATAATAACTGGAGTTTAAAAGAACAGTTTGTGATGTGATTCAAACATACAAGATTCTGAGGCAACTTGAGAAAAGGTAGGTCCTAACAGGAAGCTGCCCTTCACGGGGGAATCTACAACTACTGACATAGTTTTATAATAAGGGGTCTCCTATTCAAAATAGGCACTGACCTGTCTGTTCAAGATTGATTTGGACATTTTTGATCTAAATGGGAACCAAAAGTTATACGGGTGGGGCCAAGATTTTCTTGAATGGTGGAGCAGGCTTGAGGGCCAAATGGTTTTCTCCTATTTCTATGTACTGGATGCTGAATTTCAAATACAGTTCAACCAGCTAACTTTCTGACAACTCAATGTTGGATGAGAAAAGGAACAGAAGAAAGGTGGATACACTCAGTAGTTTCATTGACACAGCATATTATGTCAAAACACTTCAAAGTACTACAACAAATGTTCCAAAAATGTATACAGGAGATTCTAACTATTCCAGATATTACTCACCATCAGCATTATTATCCCAGTAACAGGAGCTAGCTGTGTGTAAACCAGCACCATTCTTTTGCATTATTACAGAGGTCACTAAAGGAAAATACAAATGAAGTGGGTTAACACATGAATGTTAATAACACTGGGCACATATGGAAACCATCTAGCACTCCACAATATCTACCAATTACTGCACAATTGCATTGGCATAATTCTAACATCTTTCCAAATAGGTACGATAAAAACATGACAAAAGAACACAATTTCAAGCAATAAAATAAAAATTGTTAAAGAACAGTGGATTAGATTATCTATCTATCAGTTGAAGAGGTAGCACCAGTATGGATAGGATGAACAGCAGGCTGAATCCTCCCGAGGAACGACAATCATGGTCGATTTGCCACATCAGTGTATTTTTTCTTTTACTTAAACTGCATGGAGCTCTGCACTTCTGGCCTTAATCTCATTTTCCAGTTGCTTCAGAAATGCAGCAGCAGCACTGGAGGCCGAACACTGGCTTTTTTTAAAACACCAGCAACAGCCATATTCTTGGATCTCGGGTGGCTGTCTGTATGGAGTTTGCACATTCTCCCTGTGTCTGTGTGGGTTTCCTCCGGGTGCTCCGGTTTCCTCCACAATCCAAAGATGTGCAGACTAGTGGATTGGCCATGCTAAATTGCCCGTAGTGTTCAGGGATGTGTAGATTAGGTGGATTATAGGGGGAATGGGTTTAGGTGGGATGCTCTGAGGGTTGGTGTGGACTTGTTGGGCCGAAGGGCCTGTTTCCACACCGTAGGGATTCTATTCTATTCTTAAAAAGAATACCGAAGGGGTACATGCATAAGGTGAGAAGTCATCACGACATCAATTTACTTGGAACTGGAGCTGAATTTTCAGGGTTCCAGAAGATGTCCCCTCCTACCATTCTCTTATATATGGTTATTTCTAATAAAGCCTGTCAATGTTCACTCACCCGAGTGTGGACCTGATCTTACTCCTTGGAAGTAGACTTCATTAAACCCTCTAAACCGGAGGCAACTAGCAAAGAACTTATGATGTGAAGCCCCGAGACAGCACAGTGCTATGGGTGAGGATGAGGTTAGCCCAGTGATCGGCGCAAAGTAATGGAGAAAAACTTGACAACAAAACCCTGTAGTGACAGACCTCAATATTCACTGAGATACCAGATCGTGGAGAGGGAAAGCATGCACAAAGATAAACATGCATGCAAAGATCTCACAGCAGGGAATAAGGCATGCAACTAGAAAAATTAAATTCTTGCAAACCTTAAGTCTTTACAGGGAGGGATAAGTGCCAAGAGAGGAAACCCGCACAGCTCTACGAAGAACAAGGAGGGTAAAGAAGCATTTTGGTCACCATAGATCAAATAACAATACATGAATGATGGGAAAGGCCTCCCCTTTTTCAGTCCCTCCAGAAAACAAAGCATGTTCTGATCAGGCTGTATATTGAGTAAACAGGCAAAATGGTTTGGCAGATAGTACTCTGCTCCAGTACTCAATTAAAAAGCCAGACAAAGACCAGGTGGCAGTGCCGATGCCATTCTTGCTAAACAAGGTATTGAAGAAACTGTGACAGATGAGGATGTAAAGCTTTCAACTTCTATTTCAGTTTAATTGGTGCAACCAGCAGTCGGGGGGGAAGCCATTCAGGTTTTCTAATCAACCCGTTCAGAGATGTTACTAGACATCTCGAAAACTGGGTCAGCGCAAATGGACATGCACCAAATGCAAAGGGAAACCATTTTTTTTTTTCTATATCCTGACGTGCTCTTGCACACAACTGAGTGATTTTTTCCATCACCAAAACACTCATAGATGAACAAAAATACTATTAACCACCATCAATAAATCAACTGTGTTTTCTAATTGATTAATTTACATACAAAACCCAATGCAGACCACCAAAGTTGAAGGAGAGGGAGGGAGAAAGGGAAGATCAATCAAAAAAGAGTTGGAACAGGAGATAATGTACTCCATCCCCAGCAGTACCCCCCCCTCTCTAAAGGCGGTGGACACTGCAAGTTCCGTCTACAAGGAAACACGTGCTCAAATGTGGAGGAGGGGCAGACAGTTGGCTGCCTCAATCTGTTAACAGCCCAGGAGCAGACCCACGAAGCGGTTTTTGACTTGCCAACACTCTTCCAAACCAGAAGCCCAAAGGTCAGGAGTGTGGGGCTAAAGTGCAACCGAAAGCACAGCAAAATATTTTTTCACATATTTAAAAAGTGGGTGCAATTGCTCACAGTCAATATATCCATGGCCCACGAACTCCAATACACCACAAAATAAGCAGCTGGGCTGGGAGTCCGTGAACCACCGCAATCTGCGTAACATGGGCTGCTGCATGCCACACCCTCCACCCCAAGACACTGATGGAAAGTGGAAGGACTCTCACTTATAGACCTTTCTGCCCAGCGGTAAGGAGGTACACTATAACCTGTCTGGGTAATGGACGAAGGAGTAGAAGTGGATGGTCTGCAGCAGCAGCCCATACAAAAAGCACTTCTGTGCCAGGTGGAAGGACACATAGAGCATTCCCATGAGACATTTCAGGTTGGGGGCACGGGCACCTGAGGGAGGTTTAGGTACCCAGGACCAATGCGACTAATGCGAAATTCTGTCTGAGCAAGGGTAGGCACAGTTAGGATCCCACCGCACCCCTGAGCGTCCTTCAACTGCAGCACAATGTTGGGTCTAAGCACCACCATTTTAAGGCAACAGATGGCAATGGCTATAGCTGGACATCTACCACCACCCTATTTACTAATTCCTGCAGCAACATCAGGATAGGCCTCTGCCACTCGGCACGTCCCCAATTCTGGTCACCCCAGCAGCCACGGCCCTCCCTTCCACCAGTCACTCAAACCTGCGATGATGGAGGTGCAGATTCCCGAGTATCAGCTCTTTGATGATAACCACTATCCCTGATGGTGGGAAAACTAACACAGGTTGACTAAGTACTAGACAATGATCAGATCCTGGTAAAAGACAGACAGGGATCTCAGAGAGACCTGAAGATCCTCACGGTCTACGAACAGGAGCTGTCTGTCATAATTCAGCATCTGGCAGAAGAAACACATCACCAGGGTACACCATCTGGGAGCAGGCTCAACAAAAAGGTATCGCTGCAGGGTCTGAAGACAAAAAGTCACCACCTGGGTGCATAGGCATACCAGCAACTGACCGCCCTCCTAACAGGGAGACTCAGAACTTCTACAACAACTCAGTACATCATCTTGTTGCAGAAGAAATCAACCAGTATCTTCTGGACTTTTGTGACAAAACCAGGGAGGCAAAGGGACCAGACAGTACCACAGCACAGAACCTGGTTTATGACCAGCACTCAGCCTCTGTAAAACAGCACTTGGAGTAGGTCTGTCCTGTGCTTAAGTAAGTGGAGACTTTGGCCTCCAGCTCCTGCCAATTCACTGGCCAGGATTCTCCAGTTAAGCTAATACAGACCCCTGATCGAGGAGATGGGTAGTGCTCCAGTTAACCTCACAACTTCTCTGGCAAGGAATCCACCACCACAAACAACCAGGAACCCAGAACATTGGTTCAGTCGATCCTGGCAGAGGATGCAGCTAAGTACACTTCCTGCCACTCATGCATTCTCCCCAGGTCAACCAGGTTGGCTTTAGATGAAAGAATTAACCCTGCTGTCAGGCCATGCAGGAGTAATCCTGACAACCTCTTTCACAAGAGGCACAGGCAAGACTCCACGCAAAGTCAACACAGCTGGCCAGACAAGGGGCAACCCTAAAAAGTGCTGACACCCCCACAAAGTGGAGGGGTGCTGTCAGGGAACCAGACACTCCACAGTGGTGTTCAGAAATCAGATTTGGGCGAACAACCTGAACCCAAATGTGCGCAGAGTCCTGAGTAGATACTTGTGATCCATCCTACTGAACGCCTTCTCCTGATCAAGGGGCAGCAAGCAGCAGGACGATGACCAACCTGCAACAAGAAAGGGGCTGTTGTACAATGTAGTCATTCCCATGACATCACAGAACACACTGAAGAACTCACAGTCAATCCATCCACCCCAGGGACCCAGTCCTCAAGAGCTGGGTAAGGACGCCAATCACCTCCACCAAAGTGTCGGGAGCATTGAGCATCCTGGTGTCCCCAGGCCAACCTGCAGTCGATCTTCCCACAGAACTGTGTAAGTATCCTTGCTGAAGGGATCCAGAGAGAACAGAGCCAAGTAACAGACCAAAATTTGGGCCCTGCTGACCGCTGGATCTGAGACATGGGACCTGTCATCAACCAGCAGCACAAAGAACTGCAGATGGGCTCCCCATCTTCTTTCCGGTGAGTACAGAAAGATAGAGCTGCAGACCATGTCCTCGAGGAACCAGATTCATGGACTCACAGATGCACCTCAGGACCCAAAGAATTGTAGGTCCCTCAGCATGCCCTTCTTCTCTTCGTACGCACACTGCCATTGTCCCCCATCACCTCCCCCCTCCCCCACCTCCTGCACGAACAGGTACATGTTGAGCTGACCGAGATGTGACTACAGTTTGAATACCTCCTTCTCCAACTCCTCAACCTTGGACTTCTGCCTCCTTAAGCTCTTGTGTACTCCTGGCAGGAGATGAGGACGTGAGTCTCGCCCATATTCCACCATAGCGTTAAGGAGACAAAGCCACCCACCCCAGATTCTTTCTCTAGCTGGCCCAGAACTGATGGAATGAGCCCCAGAACTGATCATCCTCCAGCCACAGTCTAAAGCGCCAGAATGCAGATTCCAGCTGGGAGTGGAATGGGGTCAGCTCTGTCCACACCAGGTGGTGATCCGTGCATGGAGTCTGTTGCACAGAGGCTGTTGGAATGCATGTGACATTCACCCATGTAAAGCTATGATTCTCGATGCTCAGACCCCAGGCCTCACAAAAGTGCTGGGGTGTGCATATTTCAGCAGATAGCCATCAGACTGAAGGACTTGGCCAAGTCCCTCAACCTATTCCTCGATGCCACACCAGCCTGGGTACTGCCATGATTCTGCTCCTGAAAGGTGCAGTTGAAAATACCACCGCCCCCACCAAGATGGCTAACCGAAGGCCA